TTACGCTATCCCGTTTAAAACGGGACTCAAACTCGATACGTGCTTTCTTTGTTTAAATTATGTGTATATGTCTTTGTGCATGTATGTATTGTTTATTATTGAACATTGCACACTTTTAATTATAAAATGACAATAGAGCATATTTTACAATTTGAATAAAACTTAAGAAAATATTTTAGAAAGTTAAGCTCTATATAATATAATCAACTATGGAAGATTGTTATTTATTTGAAAAAACGTTTTCCAAAATTTGAAAAAAGAAGGGTTAAAAAATAAAAAAATGTTCAGATTCAAACTTTTTATATATATTGATGATGATGATGATGATATTGTAAATTCTAATAATATTTTAATCAACCAAAAATTGAAAGGTCTGGCGCGAATTAAAAAATACCGTAAATTTTAGAATATAAATTATCTTATTGTTAGTAAATAATTAATAACGAAATATGCCAAAATAGTAAAAAAAAGAAACAAATACAATTTGTGAATGAAACATGTAAGTTTTTTAAAATTTGACATAATATATTTAATTCGTATCAATTATAATCTCCAACAAATCTGATACACAAAAGTATTATGGAATTTGTAAACAGAAAATGTTATTTTAACGAATTTAATTCTGTGGAAAATACAAATGAGGTGGCTAAAGAGTCACTTATATTAGTTTATTAGTTATGTCTCAGAAAAATTAAAACTTCACGTGAAATTTAATAAAATATAAAAACTTAGACAAGGCTAAAACTTGAATTTAATTAGCAAAAATTAGTGATATTTATAAACTCTTTTCACAGTTCTTATATATTTAAATAAAATATTCAGTACAATAAAGTTTTATATAAACAAATTTACTGTTTCTTAGATAAAAGTCGACAGTGACTGGAATCGAACCAGCGTGAGGAAACCTCAATTGATTTCGAATCAACCGCCTTAACCACTCGGCCACACTGCCTAGATTTCTGCTTTATTAACATTTTTGTATTTGTAAAAATGAATATTTATTGCTGCGCTGCATTTAGACAGGTAACAAAAAAAAATAAATAAATTTACAATGTTTATTAAATTTTACAGAAAGACAATTGTTTAAGTATTTGAACAAAAAAATTAAAAAAGACTGACTCTTTAAAATAATAAACACCATTTTTGAGAACTTTTTTTAGCGTTAAAACAATTTGCAAATATACAACGGTGCACTTTAGGTTTTATTTTTTGCATAATAGAAATATTAAATGTATACAATGCAAGGATGTCATATAAAAAGGCAATCAAAACTGAGAATTGATTTATAAAAATTAGTTATCACTTTTAAAATACAGAAAAATTCTAAAATTTATCTAATCAACAATCAAACTAAATTCAGATATTAAATTTTTTAATTTAAATAAAAACATTGTAAATTAAAATTATACTTTTGATTTTGCTTGATTTGGACACAATTAACTTGACGTAAAAAACATAATTAATATTTGAATGTACAACAGCATAATTATTTATTCATATATGATATCTATATTAAATTAAACCGGTTATTTCACATGTATGTAAAATTAACTAAGTAAATTTTAAAAATATACTTAATTTTATAGATCTCATGACAGATGTCAAAAAGACAATCAGTAAAAAAACATTTCTTTTAAAAAACAATAAGAAATTTATTGTATATTTTTTTAATTTAATTGGGTATAAAAATTTGCTTTTTACCCCATGTATGTTATTTATAGTTTTATCTGCAATGCTTAGAGGTGTAATTAATCTTACTATTGAAATATCTGGGGAGTTTTACACAAATGATTTTAAGGTTGATCAATATAAAATGGCTATAAACCTTGATGAAGGAATGAATAATCAGGAATTTCAAAGATTAATTAAAAAGGTTGCAATATCATACCAAAGATTTGCAAAGTTACGTCCTCTGCCAGAGTCTTTTTCAGGCAAGTATTTGAATAGTTCATGTAACGAAACAACATACTCTTTGAATCCTATTATTGTAGTAACTGTAAACAATAAACTAATTAGTGCAAGAAGATTAAAAATACTAAAAATTATGTTTATGATAACGCGATTACAGCTTCAAAATTGGGCCATTATTGATATTTTTGACGAAAAGATCGAAAAATATCTTAAAAAGAGATTTAATGTAAAACCAAAATATCCGATGTGTAAAGATGTTACTAGAAAAAGATTACTTAAACTTAAGGATGCCTGTGTAGTATTAAAAAGATATAAAAAACAATCAGTTCTTCATTTAGCTAAACATTTTATGATGTATTACACTAGTGAAAATTTATCTTTGCATTTTACGGACATGTACAATTTTTTGTTGGCTGATGATGAAATGATATTTGAATGTGATGAAAAAATTATTTCTGTCATCTGCCTAGTTAAACTACATATTCTAGTCGATTTCGTATTTTCATACGACGAATTAATGTTTTTAAAACATTTATATTAAAAATGATTTAATTTTATATGTACGTTTAATTATTATTGCACATAAAATTTTTTTATTAGCTATTATTGCTTGGCCTAAAAATCACCGAATAATTTTTTGCCATTTAACATTACAAAATTTATTAAAAAATATTTTTAAAGCAATAAGGGAAAAGATAAGGTTTGAGGGATACTTTTATTTTAAAGAATTTAACATAGAAAAATTGATTTGGCGGCGTAATAAGCGGAGATGCACCTCTTTGCTGAAAACTACTACTATAGGACTAATCTTTTAGAAACATCATTATACAACCATGCAAAAGATGAGGAAAAGTACAACAAAGTTTTGTTTTCTGCTAAAATTAAATAAGGAGCAATTGAAATTTTTAAACCGGCGAGACGTGTAATTATAATGCTTCAAATGCATTTTAAAATTATATTCACCTTTCTTTAAATATTAAAAAGATTGAGAATTAGTCAACGAACAAGAAAGAAAAATAATTTAACAATACATAACGATTATAATATTCCAGAAGAATTGAGAAAACAAGCAAAAATGCAAAGTTATTGTATTATGATTCTGGAATGATGGATGATAACAGAATAGTAATTTTTATGACTAAAAAAAATCTTGAGCATTTTATAAACTATAAAATTGCTGTATGTGATGGTACTTTTAAATCTTCATTATCTAAATTTGAAAAATTATTAGTCTTTAATGTAATGCGAGCGTTGGATAAAAACTTGGGTTTATTTATTAAAATTATTTAAAAGTGTTTCTGTCAAATATATTAAATCTGATATATTTGACAGAACACTATAAATACATTAATATTCCTGCAGCGAGAAATATTAATTTGCCTTCGATATATCGTTATATGAAACATGAAGCGAATTATTTTATACAAAGCTTTTTAATGGTTAGGTACTGAGCGCAAAGAAATTATTAGACCTAAAAGTATAATACTAGATTTTGAATCGGTCAGCTACAAATGCTGCAAGAATATCTTATAGAATCTAAGTTTTATCTGCGTGGCTCTCATTTAGGACAGATTATATGAAGGGGGTTCAAGCTTTAAAACTTTCTAGAAAATTCATAAATATTAGCAAACCAAATTTCATGTAAAGATGTTATTGGCTTTAAGTTTTATACCAGAGCATGAAGTTTTATTTGTAATTGCCTGTTTAAAACAATTTCTTTAAAAGAAAAAATCAACATATGTTTTAAAACTCTTTAATTGATTTCAATCGGAGTATCTAAATCAAAATGAAACAAATTAGAGTATTTCATTTTGGAATGTGTATACTAGAATTTTAGTAATATTCTCGCACTACCAATGATATAATAGACTTTCACAGACATCTCAATAGTTTGCTAAAAGTCAAGAAAGCCTTTTTCTACATAATTTTGAAAGAATTAATAATAGAACAAAAACTAACAGAAAACAAATCAATAAGATCTTTGAGTAATGATGTGGCCTGTAAAGATAAGAAAAGCTTAAAATAAATATTGAAGGGTTATAATAATTATTATGGAGTAGATTTCCTCAAAAAATGCATTTACATTTAACTGGAAGCTGGATTAAATTAAACATTTTAATGATCAAATTTTCTTCTTTGTTTTCTTTTACTTTCAAAAATTTATTTTAAATTATTTCTAAATATCTTGGATGATCTCAAATTACTAATACTTACAAATTCTGGTTTAATTATTAATTTAATTTTAAATCCTTAAATTATTCGGAGGGGGGGTTGGTCCTAACGCATTTATATTTATACAAATTGGCTTTTTTATGTTCATTTACTGATAATTTTGTCTTATTTTTCTTTTATTTATTAGTATAAAATTTTTTTATATTTTATTAATTAATCTAAAAAAATTTAATTTTTTGTGTATAGATGTTTTAAATTGAAAAAAAACGTAAGTAATCTACTTATTACATTAATTTATAACAAGAAGTACATAAATCTTACTTACAAACTTGTAAAAAATTAAAATTTAATACACACACTGATGCTAATACAAAATGGGAAAAACTTTTAAAATTTAAAAATGTACAGAAGCGAAATTTAAAAATAGAATTTTATTTTTTTACAAAAAATTCAAAGTTACTTATAATTGCATTTCATAAAAAACAATTTTTTTACATAAAAATGTACTCTTGATAAGATTGTCAGGTTAAAATAAATGAAAATTTTTATTTGTTCATTTAAAAATAAATCTCACCTGGAAATAAAAAATAGAACTTTTAAATTTTCTTTTAAAATAATAATATAAAAAAAATTAATAAGTTTTATGTTAAAAAGGAAAAATTTTTGCTTAAGCACAAAATTATAGCCGAATATAAAGTTGAAAAGAATCAAAAATAATTGCATAAAAATTTAATTTACATATTCCTTATGTCTATAACAATGAACGAATATATAAAAAAAGCAAGCTATTCGAACTAAGGGTTGGAGTAGAAAATATTTGTTTAATGAAAGTGATTTATTGTTTCTTAACAAGGAAATTTTAAAGAAACCAATATTAGTAATTTAAACTGACGAAAAAAAATTTTAAAATAAGAAAAAAGGAAGTAGCTGCTAAGACTATTAGTAAAAAGCTAGTTGATTTGGGTTGTAAAGGCAGGATAAAAGCATGTAAATCATTTTTGTGAAAAAAGTATTCAAGATAGACTAAGACCAGCAACGGAATGGTATTATTAAAAGGAAAGTTACTTTAAAGGTATTAAATAGAGTGATTAATCTAAAACATCACTGTTTGAATCAGATGGAATAGCTTATTGCCACCGGAAAGATGGTTTGCGGTATGATATGAAAAATCTAAAGCCTACTGTTAAGCATGGTAATGGTTTAATCGTGATTTGGAAATGTTTTTTGGAGAAAGAAGTTGAGAATATCAACATAATTGAAGGTAAAGTAAGTAGTTAAAAATATACTACAATCCTCAATTATAATTTCTTTAAAAGTGAAGAGGATTAGAATTTAAAATTTTTTTTATTTTAACGAGATAATAATTCAAAGCACAGGTCAAAGCTTGCAAAAAAATATAAAATTAATTAATGGCTATCACAAAAGCCTGATTAAAATCTAATTGAGAGTCTATGGTCTGTTCTAAAGAAAAATGTTAGTGCTAGACGGTGTAAAAATATCTAAGAATTAAAAGTTGTTGTAGTAAAAGAATGGATAAAGACACCCAAGAAGCTGTGCCAAAAGTTGGTTTCAAAACTAAAAAAAGATATAAAGTAATATTAACGGGAAAGATGAGCATACAAGTTATTAATAAAAAACTCTGTTTTTTATTCCTACCTAAAATTAATTTATTAAAATCACTCAGATATATGATTAGGAATTAAATTAAACCACATTACGTGTGAAAATGTATTTAAACATATGCATTAAATGTTGGTTTTAAATGAATAAAAACAAGTAGGCAAATTATGAAAAAAATAAATTCTATTTTTTAATTCCGCTATTGTACACAAACCGTTTATATATTTCTCATATATTTTAATTAAATTATTGGTATAATAAAATTTAACAAATAAAGTTTATTGTTTAAAAATAAAATTTTACAATGACTGGATTTAAACCAACGCTAGATGAACTTATTTAATTTTGATTCAACCTTCCTAACTACTCAGCCACACTGCCTAAATTTCTAGTTGTATTAACATTTTTGTATTTGTAAAAATGAGAAATTATCGCTGCTACTTTTAACAGGTAACTTATTATTAGAATATAATGCTAATATTGTTAATTAAATTATGAAAAAATGTTTGTATAAATACTTGCACAAAAAAAATTAAAGCAGATTGTCTATTTAAAATAATAAACACCATTTTTGAAAACTTTTTTTGGCGTTAAAACAATTTGCAAATATACAACGGTGCACTTTAAGTTTTACCCTTTGCATGACAAATAATAAATGTATACATAGCAAAGATATCATAAAAAGAAAATCAAAAATGAGAATTAATTTATAAAAATTAGTTATCGCTTTTAAAATACAGAAAAATTCTAAAATTTATCTAATCAACTATCAAATTAAAAATTAGTTGTAACATTATTAAACTTAAACTAAAAAAAATACAAATTATTTATTCACATATGATATCTATTTTAAATTTAACCTGTTATTTCATATGTATATAAAATTAATTTTGATATTTTTTAATTTAAAAAAATATACTTAATTTTATTTTAAAGATCTCATGACAGATGTCAAAAAAAGACAATCAGTAAAAAAACATTTCTTTTAAAAAACAATAAGAAATTTTTTGTATATTTTTTTAATTTAATTGGGTATAAAAATTTGATTTTTACCCAATGCATGTTATTTATAGTTTTATCTGCAATGCTTAGAGGTGTAATTAATCTTACTATTGAAATATCTGGGGAGTTTTACACAAATGATTTTAAGGTTGATCAATATAAAATGGCTATAAACCTTGATGAAGGAATGAATAATCAGGAATTTCAAAGATTAATTAAAAAGGTTGCAATATCATACCAAAGATTTGCAAAGTTACGTCCTCTGCCAGAGTCTTTTTCAGGCAAGTATTTGAATAGTTCATGTAACGAAACAACATACTCTTTGAATCCTATTATTGTAGTAACTGTAAACAATAAACTAATTAGTGCAAGAAGATTAAAAATACTAAAAATTATGTTTATGATAACGCGATTACAGCTTCAAAATTGGGCCATTATTGATATTTTTGACGAAAAGATCGAAAAATATCTTAAAAAGAGATTTAATGTAAAACCAAAATATCCGATGTGTAAAGATGTTACTAGAAAAAGATTACTTAAACTTAAAGATGCTTGCGTAGTATTAAAAAGTAATAAAAACCAATCAGTTCTTCGTTTAGCTAAACATTTTATTATGTATTACACTGGTGGAAATTTATCTTTGCATTTTAAGGACATGTACAATTTTTTGTTGGCTGATGATGAAATGATATTTGAATGTGATGAAAAAATTATTTCTATCATCTGCCCAGTTAAGCTAAATAATTTAGCCGATTTCGTATTTTCATACGATGAATTAATGTTTTTAAAGCATTTATATTAAAAATGATTTAATTTTATACGTACGTTTAGTTATAATTGCACATAAAATTTATTTTTTTGAATTAGTATAAAAATTTTCTTTATATTTTATTTATAAATATAAAAAATTTTTACGTTTTTTAATTTTTTGTAATCTAAGGTTTTAATCAAAGTAAAAGATATGAGTAGCTTAGTTGTTTTACATTAATTTATAACAAGAAGTACGTTAATACCTCCTACAAACTTGCCACTTATTTTATAATTAAATTGAAGCATTGCTACTTTACAAAACAAATTGAAAAATTTTTTTATTCAAAAAATTGACTACACGAAACCAAATAAATAAAATTTTTTCTCAAAATAAATCTTGGATTATTTAAGGATTTGACTGATTTTTAATGATCTGCATATCAATAATAATTTTAAATTGTATTTTTCTTTTTATTTAAACATTCAATAATTAATTTAGCCATAGAATGTATAAAACTAATTATAAGGATACAAAAAAGTCTTTGTTAAGAATAGGATATACTATTTCTGATTTTTACAAATTAATAAAGTAAATTCTAAACCTGTTATTTAATTATAATCTGTGCAATTTATAAAAACGATTGAATATAAAACATATAACTAAATTATTTTTGCTGGTAAAATTATCGAGCTGTTAATTTTGCACAACAAATATTTAAATATAAAAAATATATCTATTAACGTTATAAATTTAATTAAGATAATAAATTTAAATAAAGCTTTTATAAAACGGCAAATTAAGATCACTGATCGTATTACCATTGCCACCGACAACAAAAACAAAGAATAGTAGGAGGTAAAATCATTATTAAAAGAACGATGAGGATTAATACTAAACCAAAGAAGACTATATCTAAATTAGTTACTGAATGAATAAAATTTTTAAAGCAGGAAATTTTGCTAATTTTTTTCTCTTTTTGGGAGAATTTTTGATTCTTTAAATCTTGCTTAAGCACCCCGAAATCATTTTCGATATCTACCGCTCTACTTAGTTCAAATAATATATAAATAAAGCAAAACAACATTAAGGGGTACTTTCTTGGGTGTATTTAAATAAAAAATTTTTTTAAGTATTTACACAATAATATAATCTAAAATATTTAATTGTTTATTTTTCAAATTTAAATTTACAAAAGACTTCTATATAACAATTGTATAATAATAACTCTAAAGACAATAACTGTCATTTTAAAAAAAAATAAGAAAAAATAAATGAAATCAATTAAATAAGATGCTTTTTAATGTTTAACTGCAACGACCGTTTGTCTTTCATTTATTATGGCGGTGCATAGTGCAAAAGCATAATTATAACTTGACATGTAGTGTTTTTATAATTTTATGAATTATTTTTAAAAGATCAGAATTGTTTTTTAATTAATCAAAACTCTTGCGTTGTGTAATGCGAATCATCAATGATTTATAAGTTTTAAAGTCAAAAAATCTCAAACTCGGCTATTTTTACATTGTAGAAAATATTGTCTTATTTTAATTTATCATTTTAAAATTTATTGAACAAGATCAAAAATATAGAAATGTCATGCTTTAAAGCTGTATAGAGACATTTTGTGCACAAATTTTAATAAACGTTAAATTTGGTAAATTGTTTTTTTGTTAATTGGAGAAGTAGAAATTGGGTTATGTTTATAATGTTCTGTCAAATAGAATAAATTAAATCGCTTTTAAAAGCATTTTAAATAACTTTGATAAATTAAGTCTATTTTTTTATCCAACAGGAGTTAAGTATAATTATATAAGGTTACGAAATTTGAGTAAGACTGTTTTAGTATTTTTAACTATTCAAATTTAAGGTTTTACTTAAAAAATGTTATTTTTAAACAAATGAATGTATTGTAAAACAAAAATTTAGCATTTTTTTCTACGTAAAGATTATATTTGACAAGAAAAATACAGCAATGTAATATGTTTTACCATACAAAGCTTAAAAATATTGTTTTATTTAACTTTTAGACCTGTTGTAAAAAGAGGTTTTCAAAAAATTTAATATACCTTTTAATAATCTTATCACCATTTTAAAAGATTATTCTTATTACAATGCATTAGAAACGTAAAATATTTTTTATGTATGCTTCTATTATTAATTACAACAAGATAATATATTCTTGAATGCAAACTCAAAAAATGATGATTCTAAATGACAACAAAAAATTGAAAATTTGATTATCTATTTTTTATAGGTTAAATTACTGGTTTACTATTTTACAGTAAATTTTATAAAATAAAAACTACTTACGAAGGGCTAAAAAAAAGTAAACTTCTTATTATATTTTAAAAAATATATTGAATTTACTAACTTTATTAAAAATAAACTAAATTTTTATTATTTAATTTAAATTTTAATTAAAAAGTTTTTTGACAAATACACAAATAAATGAAAAAGTAAAATTTTTTAATAATAAAGTCTTATTTAAATCATTAAAAAAATTGTAAATATACATGGTAATAAATGTAAATTATTAATTAAAATATAATTATATATTTAATTATTCATTACATCTAACTTCAATCGAAGTATAAAAAATATTATAGTGCTTTTTATGCAATCAAAGATGCATCTTTTAAAAATATCTTTATTCTTCTAATGTACACAAACTCAATCTAATTGTTTCACCATCATAGAATATACTTTTAATATCCAATAAAGAGATATTCTGCATAGAATACATTATTTGCTCATAAGAATCATTTAATATTGTTGTGCGCAAATTTCTAAACACTGCTACAATACAAAAATTAAGTATATTAAATCTATTTGAATCACTAAGGAGTCTATCCCATAACCAAATAACTTCTTCAGTTTTGAATTCCGTTGAAAATAAAAAAAATAACCATTTTAAAAAAATAGGCGACTCGTGTATGCTTTTTTTTACACAACAGGTGTATAACACAGGATCAACTTTATTTAAAATGTCCCACACGTTACACATTAAAATTTTCAGGTTCTGTTCGTTATCAATATAAGATAAAAAATTTTCGTAGAGGTTTAACATTAGATAGTTGAAACAGTAAAATGCATCTTCTTCCGCATATAATGTATCCTCACTATCATCACTTGTAATAAATACTTTGTAAATAGGTATTAATAACATTACCATGCCCTGAATATATCCTACTGATTTGTTGTGTAGAACAAAACATTTTAAAATCCTTATAATTTTGCTTCGATGCGTAAGATTACTATTTTTATGTTTTGTATCAAGAAACGCACATGTTTCTTTTTTATAAAAAAGTACAGGTTCAATAAATGTCCTTGTAACATCATTTACTAAAACATCATAGTAACTAGTTTCTGTATTTTCTATATCATTTAAGTAACTTTTGTAAGCTTGTCTTTGCTTTTTATAATACAAAGAACTCTTAAACTTATTACTTGAAAAATAACCCAATAAAATTTTCCAGCATCGAGGGCGATATTTCGCTTGTAATAACCCCAGGTAGCAAAATTTTCTAATTGTTTTTATATTTATAGGAGTAAAATCATATGGATTAATTTGTTTAATAATTTCAGTTGTAATATTAAATTTACGGATATTATCATTATCTTCAGATTTCATAATTTAAAATTAAAAAAAAAATTTAAGAAAAAATACACCAATAAAAAAAAGTAAAAATTATAGGCTACACAGTCATGAAAATTGATTTCTTGGTATAAAAAAATATTTTCTAATTTAGTCAAACAAAATTTATTTTTTTTAAGTTTGTAACGTAAACGACAAATAGCCTACGTTCACCATGTTAAATATTAGGTAAAAAGCTGCTTTGAATTGTTTAATCTTGAATGTGGTAGAAAGATAAAGGCAGCACAAATATTGCAATGATTTACAAATAATAATGCTACCATTCAATAAAATATTTTATTAATATTGGTAATACGTTTACATCCGTTATAATTCATATGTTTTAGAAAAATTTAATTTCATACTTTTTTATTTTAAGATTATTTATATTTTGAAACCCTTCTTATGACAGGCCATCTTAAATTGCGTGATATTAATTTTATAACAAATTCTTGCCCAAACGTTATATCCCCTTGTTTTACTTATATCTTTGATAAAAGCTATAAAGTACCGAAAGCAAGCGTATACATACTTTTAAGCTACCCTGATTTTTTTACAAGATTAAAAGATTATTCAACTTTTTTTGAGCTGCAATGTGAACATTTTTTAATGACTTATGATTCTTTTCTATCTGAATGTATGGTAGGGACAAGTATATATACGACAGATTACGGTATAGAAATACATTTTTGCGGTATATCTACTAGAATTAGTGATGTTTGTACACTTTATATTAATTTTATATTTAATAACCAAGACGAAAGCAGGTATCATTTAGTATATTTACAAATTGAAAAAAA